AGGAATGCGATTATATTTTACAGACCAGAATTTCATTGATGTATAAAGAATATATAATTAATATATTTAGATTACCAGTCATTTATGGATGTTTTTAGTGAATTGCAGTTTCTACCTTTTAGTTCACAATACAAATGGGTATCACACTAAATCTGTCCTCCGAATACAGTGAATAATTCAGAGGTCTTCAATGTCTGCATTAAATGAGTATAGATTAAGGTACAGAGAAGTAATCCAGTATCATAAAACACTTGGTTTTTCAAGTTATCGTACTTTCTGAGCTGGGTGGTTTAGTTGCAAAGCTTTCATTGTTTTTCTGAACAATATTTTTAATGGTAGCTTCATGGTATGATAAGGTTTTTTTTATTCTCTGTCAATGAAAGCCATTTTTCCTGCGGTCTGTGACTATCATTACTTACCACTGGAGATTAGCGGATCATTGTGTTCATGTGTAGTGGTGTTGGTTGTCTTCTCGACTTGGTACCTGACTTTACAATCGCATGATTTGTCTTTAATTAATCAGGGAACCTGATCTACATCAATCTATTTGTTAGATGTAGCTTAGTTCGAGAACCAACCTTCGGGGATTTCCCTGGCATATTGTTCTCTCTGTTTAAGGCTTATAATTTGATGTCCGTGGTTATCTACCTGAATTGATACCAAGGATTATATACATCTACCCAGTGGTTAGGACCCTCGCCGACCATGTACATGGTCCGGGATCCCACCCCCGATCGATGCACACCTGATATCAATGGTCGTTCTGCTACATTTGGGCTACCAATATCACATGCTGAAAATTCCATACTTGTACCAAAAATAATGTGTGGAATCAAGCTACAATAATGTTATGTATGTCCAAACCAAGTTCACTTTTAACAGTTTGAAAAAAATTGGGCATTGGATATGTGTTATTCATTATAATAAAATAAGAATTATGTTCGTTAAATCTTGGACCCCCTATTATTTACATATTAACTGCGATCAAGATTTGAACGAATCTTTCCAAAATAATTAGGTGCTGAGTGAGTAGACATATGTAGAAAATATATTTATGAAATTTCAGTGGAATTGAAATGAGTAATTCCAACGTTTCGTCCGACAAACTGGTCCGAACTTCTTCAGGGAAATTAATCAAAACTAAAATAACTGAGGTTAATATGTAAAAGGGATATCTCTTGTTTTTAAAAAGTTTGTCTAGTTATATGAGTTATGAAACAGGGATCAAAATATAATAAACAAAATTATATGAACTGTGATCAAAATTTGACCTTAGAATTACAGATATTAGTCTACTTTTGTCGAACACTGTAAACAGTGTACTTTTGCATCAGAATTTTAGTGATTGTTCATAGTCGTAGATAACTGTATATACGGTATACAGTGGTGTGCGTGTATGTGTAAACAGCTGTAAATCATTTGCTAGCTTTTCCATAAAAAGATACAGGCAATCGGGTATTTAGATCAAGTATGATTAATTACTGGTACATATCCATTTTTACTTATTAATCAGGACTTCCGATACATCAACTAACATCACACCTTCACGTCTGTTTAAACTTTTGGGATTCACCAATATGTGTAGGGCTTCTGCAGTCAGTCTTTCTGTATACGAACTAATTCCTTTCTGTAGGACCTTAATCCCATCAAAGTCGTTATTGTGCCCCGTTTCTATCGAATGCAATGCAATCGCTGATCTGTGTTCTAGCTTCTTTAAGTCTGGAGAGGTCTTTGGGATCCCTTGTAGACATTGTTTATGCTCCTTCACTTATATATTTTTACCTGTCAGGAGGTTTCTCCTAAATATACATCGTTACAGTCCCCACAACTGATTTGATACGCTCTGTTCTGTTGGTTGTATCCTTCCACTTTATCCTTAACCTTCACCAGTGATGAGCGTAAGTTGTTAGTTGCACGAAAATACACTCTTATTTCATAATTGTTAGGGATTCACTTTATATCATCCCATGTTTCTCTGCGGTAAGGAATCACCACTGTACTAACTCAAGTCTTAGCAACAAGTTTCGATTCGTCCTTATCTTCACATTTTAAGCATCTGTTTATAAAGGCTTCTAGATAATTATTTGATTCAAGGGTGGACTGAACCAATTTTAGTTCCCTTCTGATCTCTTCCTCAATAGACGTTTGGCTACAGTTAATTTGGGGGTAAAGGGATGTGTTGGATAGTAGTATCAGTCTAGGTATCTGTCCGAATGTGTCGGCTTTCTGAGAATGTTTAAGTTGACTATTTGGTTGTCTTTTTACTAAACAGTTTAGCAAATACAAGCAAATGGCACTAAAATAACTACGGAAAGGTAAATCTATTGTCATTACAAGAAGAGATAAAGGCAATTTCACGGTTTTTATGACCTCTACAGATTTCATAGGGCTCGACATTAAGGTGATCAATAGCTTTCTTTTCATAGTCTGTATACGTAGATAAGACACAACTTGAAGCTTTATCTCGGTTTAAAATTCTGTGACAGACGTAATCAGGTTAATCATTTAGAGACTGTTGTTCAATTTGAAAACCTGTTTGCCCAGACAAACAACCTAATTTCTTCGTCCAAGTATGAACTACGAGGATTTAAAAGTACCCTAATCGATTCCTGCTACCAGTTTAAGAAAAACAAACCTCTTGTCAACAGTCTGCCTACAAAGAAACACAGAGGCATTATGTGACCTCACGAAGAACAAAAATCCGATAATAACTAGACCTGACAAAGGATCTGGTACAGTTACCATGAATAAGAGTGACTATATAGACAAAATGAATCTCATTCTAAGTGCCCAGACGGAATTTCAACAACTGAATAGTTGTAAAGACACAATTGAAGCAATTGAACGCCAAATGGCTAAGACGAAAATCTGGTTGAGAGTAATCTGATTCTTAAATGTACACTCTACGAATTGAAACCTTCGGGTACACACATACACAACAAGATTTTATGGTTCATCGAAAGTCCACTACATCCCATGCTAGATATGTGTCAATCTCCCTATAATTCTACAGTCAAGTGGTTGGTGAAGGCATTGGAACCTTGACATCGTAAACTAGTGAAATTCAGCGTAAAAGACGTGTTTAGCTTTGTAGAAACTTCCAAAAGCCTGAGTGTAAAGGGTGAAAAGACGATGTTACTAGATGTAACATCATTATTCACCAACGTCCCATTGCTCGAAACAGTCAACTACTTATGTCACAAACTGACTGGACGAAGGATGTAGGAATCCCATCTGAAAAAGTCAAGGAAGTACTATTGAAATGCACTGTGGATGTTTAGTTTATGTCCAACATTGATTTTTATAGACAAGTTGACGGTGTTGTCCTGGGATCACCTCTGGCCCCTATGCTAGTGGATATTTTCCTGGCAAAGCTTGAAAATGTTCCACTCAAATACACGATTAAGGGGCTTGACTATTATTGTCGATACGTAGATGATGCCTTTGTCGTTGGTGATAGGAATCTTTTGAATGTTGTTAAGTGTTCACCCAGCTACTCAGTTTACATGTGAGGAAGAAAATTACAGTATACCCTTTCTAGACGTTCTGCTCACCATGAAGACAGACGGATGTGTACAAAGGAACCTATTTAGAAAGAAGACTTGGACGGGTCAGTACACCCATTTTCATAGCATCACACCGTTTCATTATAAAAGAAGCGTAGTTAAGAGTCTTAGTTATAGAATAAAACGTATATGTTCAGAGGAATGCATTAAGGAAGAAATGTGTAAACTGAAACTTACACTACAAGAAAATGGATATCCAGAGGATTTCCTAAAAAAAGTATATGTCGATACTTAAGGATAGGGTAACGATGGATACCGTAGATAAGTTGAGTTACAAATGGGAAATTACAGTTGACATTCTAAAATGTCTACTTAATAGAGCATCGGAGAGAACATTTCCTGCAGCTAAACTGGTACCCAGCTTCTCAACTAAACCAGTACTCACACAACGAGTCATTGGTGAATTACCAAAGATAGCCTCATCCAGTGTGTATCTATGAATTCAACTGATCATGTGGAGCTAGTTACATTAGCCGTACTCATGCTCTCACGTGAACATGTGCCTTTATGGTTGAGTAAAGGGGAAACCAACTGCGTAAATTATGCAGTCTTGAACCACTTGGTAGATACTGGACACTCGGTAAAATCTGACGAGGCGTTCTCACCTATTGACCGCGTTCCTGATAGTTAACTTAAATGAGCTAGATTATGTCTTCTATCAGTAGCTGAAGCGATAACAATAAATGCCAAAAGACCCGCTCTTTGTACACAGGAAAAGTATGTTCAACTGCTATGTTTACCTTGGCCTACAATAAGGCCAACAAATCCTCCATAAACACTAGCATTTCAAATTGCCATCACAATTTTTCTTTTTCTTCTTATTCTTTGTTTCGTTGACAAACTTTCATTTCTGGCCTTTTACGATTTCATAACCTCTCGTATGATTTCTATTACCTTAGATTTAAGTAATGCCTTTCTAGCTCGTTATCACATTTATAAAATCCTGTTCATTTCACTTCACCGAATTCATTACTATTATTTGATAATCATTCACCAAAAGTACTTCTAAGTTTTCGCCACATCATCGTTATTTCACAATCTTTAATACTGTCGTTATTTTCACCTTTATTTAGACTTACGTCTGGTGTACCCCATTCATTGGTTTATTTTCTGTAGTATTCATATTGTCTCACACCCTACTGACTACACACCCTCGAAACCTGTACTTTTGTTGAATATATATATATATATATATATATATATATATATATATATACTTCTCACTCGGCGCCCAATTATTTTTAAGCTATTCGATCATACCTTGATCATAGTTCATATGTAAATAATACTGGTCTAAAATTTGTTGATCAGTGATTTCTCTGAAATGTTTTCTTGAGATTTTCTCATGTGTTTTCGAAACCAAATTCATTTAATTTTGTAGTATAAATTTTTGAGGTATTCACCATTATATGATTTCCAGTTGGTTTTTTTCAGTCATGTAAACGGTGTGGAAGACAATTCCCAATTATTGAACTAGGTGATGGTTGTTTTTACCACCCCATGGAACCTATACCATTCCAATCAGACCAATTAATTAATGAAAATCACTCGAAAACAGCGAAATCAATATTTACCAGAACAACAGAAAAATTTCAGTCCCCTGATTGTAATGCGTTTAAACAAGACAAAACACCAAATCATCAGACAAATTCAGATTCTAGCGGATTTTCCAAAAAGTACATGCAGTCAAATACCATTAAGAACTTATCTAAGTAATTAATAAGTATCGTTGATGTTTATTTAACAAAGTCATTATTTTCAAAACGAAGCACTGTACATTATTATTTATTATCCCCTTGGGTTCCGAGTGGAACATACGGCTTAGACAGCACACCTCCACTTAGTTCTATTCTCTGCGATTTTAGCTGTCCCCACTATTTCCCATAATCTCTCATCCCGCCCTAGAATGATCTCCTCCATGTCACCCTCGAAGTGACACCCCAGTCGGCGTTTCCCATTCGGGTCCCACTCAAGCGATGGCCTAGCGTGCAATGTCATTTGACAGTCTCCTCAGTATGTACCCTATCCATCTCCATTTTCTAAATATTTGTTGGACAATAGTTTCTTGGTTGGTTCTTCCCCATAGTTTCCTGTTGCTAATCCTTTCTGGCCATTCGATCCTCAGCGTGGAGAGAAGGCAGCTGTTGATAAACGTCTGGAGCTTGTTGGAAGTGATTATCTTGACGCGCGCGTCAAGATTCTGACCCATATAGAAGAACTGACTCACGTGACGTTTGTGTTGAAAATCCGGATTTCGTTGTTTGTGTTGAATGTAGAAGAGTTCTCAACTGATTCCAGATTGATGGAGGCGTATCCTGACTTTCCGATTCTGGTTTTGACATCTTCATATGTTCCGCCTGTAGTTGAAACGATGTTCTAAATTTATTCCCTTGATAGTGATTCGTGCTGGTTGTTGTTGTTTTTGCGGTTCATTGATTATCTTCGTCACATCTGTCTTCTCCATGTTCACCTGCAGCTGTGTCTTCGCTGCTACTTCAGGTAGTTTGTTGGTCATCAGTTCTGTGTAATGTTAGGCATAAAGCATCTGCTAAATGCAGATCTTCTAGAGTCTTTATACTCACCCAGTGTATTCCTGTCTTCTCACTCCCCACGCAGAGTATGATTATTATTATTATTATTATTATTGTATCCTTTAGTTCCTAGAGGAACATAGGGCTTCAGCTGCGCACCTCCATTGACTTCGGTTTTCTGACAACTTTTTCACCCTGCTCCAGGTCTGCCCACATGCTTTCATCTCCTCTTCACATGACCTCCTCCAAGTCACCCTTGGACGACCAACTCGCCGCCTCCCTTTCGGGTTCCACTCGAGGGCTTGTCTAGTGATGTCACTTGATGGTTTCCTCAGCGTATGGCCAATCCATCTCCATTTCTTTCTGCCTATTTGTTTCACAATCGGTTCCTGATTGGTTCGCTCCCAGAGATCCCTGTTGCTGATCTTTTCTGGCCATCTGATCTTGAGTATTGAGCGGAGACAGTTGTTAATGAAGGTTTGAAGTTTGTTTGAGATGCTCTTTATGACTCGCCAAGTCTCTGATCCGTATAGTAGCACTGACTTCACATTGGAGTTGAAAATCCGGATCTTATTTTTGATGCTGAGTGCTGTTGACCTCCACACAGATTTGAGAGTAATGAAAGCTTGTCTTGCTTTTCCGATTCTGGCTTTGATGTCCTCGTCAGTTCCGCCTGTAGTTGAGACGATGCTTCCCAGGTAGGTGAAGGAGGTTGTTTCTTTCAGGTTCTTCCCATTTATGCTTATTGTGGTCTGTTGTTGCTGTTGATGTTGGCAAGGAATCTTCATCATCTCTGTTTTATCTATGTTCACGTGAAGTCCTATCTTTGATGCTTCTTCTGCCAACTTGTTACTTTTCACTTGCATATCTTCCAGTTTATGGGAAATCAGACATATATCATCGGCGAAATCCAGATCCTCCAAGTCTTTTGTGTCAGTCCATTTTATGCCTGTTCCCTCGTTGGTTGCCGTTGTCTGTCGCATTATCCAATCAATTGCAATCAGGAAGATCATTGGTGATAGTAGACAGCCTTGCCTCACTCCCGTCCTCACTTCGAAGGCTTCCGTAAGTTTCCCGTTGTGGATTACTTGGCATGCAGCATTGTCGTATAACTGTTGGATGAGGTGTATAATTGTCGATGGGACCCCGTAGTAGCGAAGTAGTTTCCAAATGACCTCTCGATCGACGCTGTCGAAGGCCTTTTCAAAGTCGATGAAGTTGAGATAGAGAGGTGACTGCCATTCCAAGCTTTGTTCAATGATGATCCGTAGAGTGGCGATTTGATCAATACATGATTTGTTTCTCCTGAATCCAGCCTGTTCCGGACGAAGTTTTTCATCTAGGGCTTGTTTGATTCTCTCCAGGATGATGCGACTTAGTATCTTGCTTGGAATGGACAGAAGCATAATTCCACGCCAGTTTTTACATTGACTTAAGTCTCCTTTCTTTGGAAGTTTGAATAAGTAACTGTTCTTCCAATCCTCGGGTACTTTGCCCTCTTTCCACACCTTCTCCAGTAGTGGTGTCATCAAGTCCGCTGTTGTCTCTGGGTCTATTTTCAAAGCCTCTGCTGGGATTCCATCTGGTCCCGGTGTTTTCCCAGTTTTAAGCATCTTGATTGCATTCAGGACTTCTGATTTCGTCGGGGGGTCAGTGTTCACTGGTAGTTCTGCTTCCGTTGTTGGTATTGCTGGACGTGTTGTAGGTGGCGGACGATTTAGAAGTCTTTTGAAGTGTTCAACCCAGTGCTTTCTCTGTTCCACCTCTTTGGTGATTGACTTTCCATTGTCGTCCTTTATTGGCTTAATCTGTGTCGAACGTTTGCCCGAAAGGTTCCTAGTTGTTTGGTAGAGTGTGGCGAGGTCTCCTTTGCCTGCAGCTTGTTCTGCTTCGTTTGCCATGGTTTCATAATATTTTCTTTTGTCTTCCCTGGCACTTTTCTTCACTCTTTTGTTCAGTGTATTGTAGCTTGCATTCAGCTCCTGTTTTTGTTGCTCGTCCGTGCACTGGATAATCTTTTGCTTCACTGTCCTTCTCTCTTCTATTAGTTTCCAAGTGTCCGTAGTGAGCCACTGTTTGTCCTGTCTCTTTTTTCTGCCTAGAATTTCTATGCAGGTTTGGCTCCACACCGTTTTCAAGTTGTTCCAGTGCTTTTCAACGCCGACCTCTTCGCTAGTGTTGATTTGTGTCTCGGCTTTGTCCTTTATGCTTGCAATGAAGATGTCCTTTGTAGCCTGGTCCTTCAGCTTTTGAGTGTTGAACTTGGCTTGTGGTCTATCTGCAGCTCCTGATTCCCTGAAAGCTTTTAATTTGATTTGGATTGTCCCTTGTACGAGATAGTGGTCTGAGCCAACGTCTGCTCCTCTTCTTGCTTTTGTGTCCAGTAGGCTGCGCCTCCACTTCCTTGAGATTGAGATGAAGTCGATTTGGTTTTTGGTTTGCCCGTCTGGTGACACCCATGTAGCCTTGTGGATATCTTTGTGCTTGTATACACTGCCACCAATCACCAGTTCGTTGAAGGCGCAGAAGTCGGCGAAGAGTTCTCCGTTTTCATTCATTTCTCCTAGAGCTTCTCTACCCATGATGAGTTCCCTTCCCGTATTGTCTGGTCCCAGTTTGGCGTTCATGTCTCCCATTAGTATTTTCATGTCGCCAGCTGGAGTATTGTCCATTGTTGCCTGTAGTTGCCTGTAGAATTCTTCTTTCTTCTCGAGGTCTGCGTTGTTTGTGGGTGCATAACATTGTATGATTGACACTTTCCTTCCTTTGGAGTTGAACCTGGCGGTCATTATCCTGGACGAAATCGCCTCCCATTGTATCAGGGCTTTCGTTGCCGTTGGTGACATCATGATAGCCACGCCCTCGGTGTGCGTGTGGTTATCTTCTGGGTGACCGGAGTAGATCACTGACTCACCTGTTGACAATTTGGTGAGTCCACTCCCATTCCATCTGCTCTCACATATTCCCAGCACTTGTATTCCGTATCTTTTCATCTCGTTGGCGATCTGGGCAGCTTTTCCAGTCTCGTACATAGTTCGAACGTTCCATGTTCCTACACAGACTTTTTCTTTTGGTGCAAGGAGGTTCAGCATACTGAAGTTCTGTAGCAATTTTTGTTTACAGGGTGGGGTTGCTAGCCTCACGCCTGAGAAAAGAATGATTACATTAAGTAAAAGTTTAGAGAGAAGCAACTTTTTGGGTTGCTCCCCTCAAAATCAGAAAATAACGGACAAACAATGAGAACAACATCAACAAAGGAAACAGTTCACAGAAAAAAGGGCAAAAAGCGACGACAACTATACAATAAGACAACATGCAATATAGTTCAGTACATTAACTAAAATGATATCTTAACCATAAACTCACTGACTTGGAGCAACTTGAACATATAAATCCAACAATATATACAATTATAGATGTGTTTATGTTTAAAAATTCCACAAATCCAAACAGTGAGTTATGTGTATTATCTGTCAATAAGATTGTATTTTTTGGATTCAGTGTTCAGAGTATGACGCAGAGTATGACGCCTGGTTCAATCCACCACAATTAGGAATATCATTGGTGATAATAGGTGGCCAGTATGTTTTACTCCTGCATTCACTTCAAAGCCTTCGCTGAGTTTTCTGTTGTGGATCGCCTGACACGTGCGACCGTCATATAGCCAGCTGTTTGATAAAGATTCGGGCACTGCACGCCATGGTGTTGAAGTAGTTTCCAAATTACCTCTCGGTCAACGTTGTCGAAGTCGATGAAGTTGGGGTGGAGGTTTGACTGCTATTCTCTGCTTTGTCCGATGATGATGATGCACAGAGTTGCAATTTGATCAGCACACGATTTGCCTTTCCTGAATCCAGCTTGTTTCGGTTGGCGGAGATCTGCATCCAGTGCATGTTTTAGTCTCTCCGAGATGATGCGACTTAGTATTTTGCCTGGCGTGAACAAGAGGATTATTCCACGCCATTCCATTCCGTGCAGAGGCCTAGGTCGGCCTTCTTTGGTAGCTTGACAAGGTAGCCAACCTTTCTTCCAATCGGTGGACACCTTTGCATCTCTCCAAACCGTTTGCAATAACGGTGTGAGCACATCTGCTGCAGTCTCTGGGTCCGTTTTCAGTTCTACAGGAGCGATTCCGTCTGGTCTTGCTGCCTTCTCGGCCTTCAGTGGCTGGATTGCATTAAAGATTTCTGTCTCTGTTGAAGGATTGGTGTCCACTGGCAGACAGTTCTGTGCGTGCTGTCGTTGGTGGTGGTATTTCTGGGAGGGCTGCAGGTGATGGTTGATTCAAGAGTGCTTTAAAGTGGTCAGCCCATTGTTTTGTTTGCCTCTCGACTTTGAAAATTAGGTTCCCTCGACCATCTTTCATAGGTTTCAACTTTTTTTATCTTTTCTTGGATAGAGACCTGGTTATCTGGTGTGATATTCTGAGGTATCTTTCAGCTGCGGCCTGTTCTACTGCAATTTCCAGTGTGTCTTTTGTCTTTCCTAGCACTCGTCTTCACTTCCTTATCCAGTGCGATGTACATTGAACCCAACTTCTCTTTCACCATCCTCCTCTCTTCTATTAAATCCCAGGCACCCGTTGAGAGCCATTCCTTGTCTTCCCTCTTCTTTCTTCCTAGAACTGTTGTACACGTTTCCTAGAACGTTACCTCCATAGAGTTCCACTGTTCTTCCACGCAGATTTCCTCAGGGATGCCACGTAGTAGTGTCTCCGACATTGTTCTGATGGCTGCAGTGAAGGTATCTTTTGTAGTTTCATCTTTCAGTTTCTGAGTGTTGAACTGTGGTCTGTCTCCAGTTGCTTTGAAGGCTTTCAGTCTGACCTTGAAGGTTCCTTGAACTGGATAGTGGTCTGAGCCCATATCCACTCCCCTTCTCGACTTTGTGTCCAGCAGACTGCATCTCCATTTCTTGAACAGCATTGAGATGAAGTCCATGTGGTTTTCGGTGTGTCCATCAGGCGAAATCCATGCTGCCTTGTGCATATCCTTGTGTTTGAACACACTGCCACCAATCACCAAATCATTGAAGGTGCAGAAGTCTGCGAAGAGTTCTCCTTTGTCATTCATTTCTCCAAGAGCCTCTCGACCCATGGTGAGTTCTCTTCCCGTATTATCTGCTCCCGGTTTGGCTTGTATATTCATACTACCCATAAGTACTTTGATGTCTCCATTTCGGGATGTTGTCCATTACTGTTAGTAGTTGTCTTCTCTTGTTCCGAGTTGTATGTAGGTGCGTAGCATTGGATGGTTGACACCTTTCTTCCTGTTGAGTCGAATCTTACCGTCATAATTCTGGAGGAGGTTGATTCCTACAGCAAAAGAGCTTGGACTGACACTGGTGACATCATGGTAACACTCCCTCAGTGTGTTCGTGGTTGTCGTCTGCGTAGGTGACCGGAGTAGATTACTGACTCTCCAGTTGACAATTAGGATATTCCCTATCCATTCCACCTGCTATCACGGATTGCTAGCGCTTCCATGTCACATTTTCTGACCTAGTTGGCTACGTGAAGAGCGTTCGCAGCTTCGTTCATTGAGCGAACATTCGAAATCTCCATTCTTACTTTCGCTCCCATCAAAATAAGACACATATGCTTTCATCAGCCTGCATCACTTCTCTCCGATTGCAGCGGAGAATGAAATTTTTATATTTTTGTTTGACGTTGACGTTTCTTTGCCGATTGGGTCGATTTTCCAATGTACCATCGGTAGCTCCAAGCCTAACCTTCTCTCTTTTCCGGGTCTTGGGACGGACTAGTAAACTTAGCGAGGTTGATATACAATGAGCATCGTTGTTAATGTACTGCGGATCGCCTTAGCATAACTATCTAGACATAAATGTTTTTTATGTTGTACTATTTGGTGATACTACTCTGAACCTCTCACTGGAAAGAACTGCAAAGTTAACACTTTTAAACAAACGTCTTATTTTAGTGTGGATACGTATTAAATAGTGTTTCAAAGTGTAGTTGTCAATTGAAAGGTAATTCCTAATAATATATTTCGTATACTTAATACATAAGCTCATCAGAGTACTAAATATGCAATCCTTACCCAAAGTTTTGTCACTATCAACACATCAAGTTTAATTCGCTCCAGAAGAACTATTCTTGACTGATGATTTGTTATCGCGTAGTTGGTTTAGATGTGAGTTATATAGGTTATGTTTTGGAATAGAAATTATATATATATTTATATCAGCATGAGAAAATTAAGTTGAAATACCGTTAGTAACTTCAAAAGTTCTTTTGGTGTCGACTTGATGTCTTGCATCAACTCATTCGAGCTAGTATTGAGCTAAATATGGCTTTATTTGTTCCTTCACCTAACTAAGATGGGTGGTATTCAGAAATGCGAAGATGAACTTGGCTAATTGTACACCCAATGTGACTACCTGCATGTGGTAGCAGTTAAAATGGTAAATGCACCCATTCTATACCTTAAAATCGATCATTCTTATTGACTAAATTCACAAGAATAGTATTATTTTGCTGTACACATGGGTGTATAGCTGTTGATGAGAAACTAATCGAAAATGAATATATCTCTTTGATCAGTTTCTTTTATGAATACTTTTGATGATGAAACTATCTTCGAAAGCTTCGAGTCGGGAGACTGCTATTTATTCAATGGGTAACGATTGAAGCTGAAATAAAAATCTGATTCGAATCTCGTTACCGAATTTTTGACCTTACATTCAATAATCACTGGTTGCATCAATACTTGTCTCTTACTCAATAAAATGCTTATTTATCTAAACAACATAATTAAATATTTATTTTAGTTATTCTTTACTGGTTGAACTTGATGTATTTTTATGTCTATTTATTTATACAGTCAAATGAAACCTGATCTAATTCATCCATGCTGTGGATTTGGTTTGTCAAGATTCAATCTCCTTCCAATTCAAACTGTAAATTTTAAACCTCAATTTGTCGTGATTATCCGTCGCATTATATAATTTCTAACGATGTTTATATCTCTTCCGGTCTAGAGGAAATAAAAATACCTGTTTATTTTATTTATGTGTTATATATATATATATATATATATATATATATATATATATATATAGTTGTACTAAAATAATACTTCAAAATTTTGTCCTATCAAACTGTGGTGTGTTAGTCAATAAGAAAAATGAATGAGGAAATTACTTATAAAAATCAAGATTGGTTAATTTGTAGATTGGCAACAGTTTATCACGTAATCGACAATACGTAGGTTAACGATAATTATTAAGATAAAATGGGCAATCAAATTTGTTAATAATCAGGCAAGAAAATCAGGATATTAATACGTGAGTTGAATTAAGGGAATCAGTAATAGTAATAATAATGTCAGCTGTTGGTTACAAGGATAGGGGGAGAGCCAATTTGTAAAACTCTACGTAATATATGGATAACCACAATAAAGGAAGGGGCTACACGAATTTCTTTTGAATAGACACATTTGACTTCTTCATCTGAATTCCTACTACTTTTGCTGTATGTAAAAGTCTGGCTCATGGAGCATATGTAACTTACCTTGATCCTCTTACCTAAATTTTAACGATTTCATTCACCCATTCTTTTTAATTATGGATTACCTAGTAAGTTGTTAGGGTCTACAAATTAACCGGTCTTGATTTCCGTAATTATTTTCAACCCTCTTTGCTACATTCTTTGCTTTTTCCTCGATGTCTGAACGCGAGTTTTTAAACTATTATTGATTCACCTATTCAGAATTTCTAAAACCAATAAACAACAACTCACATTTTGAGTTTTCTTTGTAGTGTCCTTATTTTTTGTATAAATTATTCACATGTTCTGAATGTTCTATTACTACTTTTTTTAACTACCGTTCATACATTGTTCGGTCAGAAAGTTAATATTAGCACATGCAAAAATTAAATTGGTATAAATCTCAGCGAAATTGGGGTGATTTCTGTAAATATATATGTGTCTACTTGTGACTGGGCACCTAATTATTGTGGAACCATCCCGTCACATCTTAATCAAAGTTCTTGCGAACTAATATTAGCATAGTTACGTTTCAAATTTACTCCGCCAAGCAAAATCTAATAATTAAATTAGTTGTATAGTTATTAAATTAACACCATGTTTAAATCTCACTAAGCACAATTTGAATATTACTGAAATATCATCATAGCTACGATTTCTGACAAACTGTTAGATTATAACTAAGTAGTTGTTTTGTTATCTGGTGATCTTAGACGTTATCCTTCTCAGTATAATCAGAGGGTGTCGTTTGGAGAAACTCATGAATAAAATATCTGTCTCTTACTCCATAGTTTTATAGGATTCTTCAACGTGTTATCAGTTCATGACGAAATCTATTTTAAATGCATAAATGGATTTTAGTTGCCTTTCCAATTATAATCTTTATATATATATAATCTTAATATATTTTCTACGTTGACTAATTATTTGTAAGGGATGTCACAGAAATGAACATATTTTGGACGAAGAATCTTCAGATCCTGTAACAAAATTATGTATTCAACATCGTGAAATGATTATATCATGGGCATCAAAGCGTTCATTCAATCCACATAAGTTAGTATGTGTTTTCTGTTGTTAGACTTTGCAAATCCTGTTGATAATTTTTAAGTTCATATAATTTCTATTGTCGTAATATTGATAAATCTTGTGAGATGACAAAGCTCGCGTGAACAGATTTATTCGTGTGCGAGGTTATATTCACATACAATTGATCTGATAACTTGTTATTCACAAGCTGACTAAGCTAGAAGTGGTAGGGTAGGTGTTGAACCAGAGATTCATTGGTTGCAGGTTGATTGTTCCTACCAATAATTCATACCACTAGCTGTATTTATAATGCTATTCATATATGTTGTGAAGTATTCAGAAGCAAGATTCTAATGTGAGAAAAATACTAGAAACAAGACATAGATAACAGTTGAATTAACGTGCATGCTTATCTCGTTGACATACGATTCTTATCTCCGATAAGAACCTTATAAATCTATACTATATGAAAGTGAGTTCCATAATGGACCAACGTTGCTTGATGAAATAGTGGAAACTAGTGAATACTGGACAACTGTTTCATCCTGGTATGGACTCCTTGCCGAAGGCCATACCCAGGAAAAATATAAGTTGACATCCAATAACCAATGAGTTGTAATCTGCTCTCTGAATAGTAACATTCTCCCCCGTTAACTTTAAGGTCGTGGTTTCAATCCCTTGTTGGGTGTATTGTGTATACATATTCATTACGTGTATATTTATTTTAATGAATATCAAAGTTTGGACAGTTAATTAGTTTTAATGACTCTGACTATGTAAAGGTGTTTATTTGTCACCAAAGAAACGTACTTTCTCTTTAGAATCTATGTTGTGTTGGCAAGTTGGAATAGAATTAGTGTGTTATTTAAACCTTGGCTGCTTTTATAGAACTTTTATAGAAATGACTATTAGTAAATGCTATTTTAGTTCTCATGTATGGTCATTACTGATTTACAGTATTCTCTAATGCAATTACTCATTGAAATCTGTAAGACCAGATTCGATTGGCCGATTGTTCATATAGTCGAAAGTTACCATTATATCTTATCTCATACAAATCAACTCTACTTTTAGGCCCTTGTATCATAATGATTCTGTGTAATTTAAAATCTGTTATAATACTATGGAAGGTTTGCGTAAGTTTTCGTATGGTGTAATCAAATGTCTACCCAGTATTCTCTATGATTATTATCATTATTAAAATTTTTAGTGCACCTGGTCTGATGACTGTTGGAGGTTATTCTTATCATTCAGTTGACCTCAATCAAATTATATTTAATAAGGATATTATTCATACAGCTCCAGCATTTACTCTATTAACTTGCTTAGATAAACAACTGAATGAAGATAAAACAAGCATATTTGGTGTAAGTGATTTGTTAATTATATATTCTTTTATCTTTTTTTTAATTCGTTTGAGTTTCAAATGGAACATAGAGCTTCAGGCATAAGGTTTCAAGCTTCAGTAGCGGTGATATTGGTTTTACAGGGCGGTATTGCTTGCCTTACTGCATTCTTCCAGCTTTAGTTTTTATTCATTAAGTTGATGGTGGTAATTCATTTTATTCGTTAGAGATTAATGCCAATGAAACAATTATCAGGAACCATTGGATGCTTGACTCTTGTTTAACCTCAATTTGAGGCTGTTCTCCAATCTGTCAGACATAATCTCTGAAGTCTGAAGTGAAGACGACCAGTGTCACCGAATGTCACTATTTATTCTACACTATAGATGTGATAAAGGAGCTGAATTCGTTTAAATGTCATGCCTGAAGAGTTGAATCGTCATCCCTAAAATAACCAGTTTTTTTTAGTATATAAGCAATGTAGTCCACTTAGTCAATGGTACTGATAACATACAAAGTACTTCGATCTTACGGTTATTCATTTAAGTGGTTGTGCCTATGCACTACTTTACAGATGTGGGAACTCTTGTTAAGTTGATGGATTGGTTAATGACAAGATGTCATTGCTGTCACAAAATGATTGTGTAACATTGCTTACTTGGTTTTGTTTTAATACAGGAGAGACGGAACTGTGTTTAAATTCCGGTTTGAAATGTGTGACTTCAATGAATGCAAACTTTGATCCATGTTTCTGACTGCTTGAGTGTTGTAAATTTCGTATGTGTGGAATAAACCATAATAAATCGTAGAGCTTTTTAAATATTATTACTGTATAAAATTCTAAGTTACCGTCAGCTAATCAAATAGAAATTAGAGCATAGAAACAATTTTATAAAGTTTGAATCTACTTGTACTACAGGTCGATGAAATGAGTAAAAAGAATGAGCGAATGTTCCATCTTTCTTCATTATACATCTTTCTATATAGTGTCGTTGGAATTGCCAGTATATTCGAGTGTTCGCATAGAATTTGTTTCCAATCTGTGTATTTAATGTGTTGGCAGTTTTCTTTCTACTGTTAAAAAAATGAGAATTTAGTTTTCAGTACGTGATATTGATAATTAAGTTTAAATAAGTAAAGTTAGCAATATAATTAAACTGGTCATTCTTCAGTTACGCATATAAAGACAGTTGTCATCACTAATTCCTTTAGGAAATCCAGAATATTCAGGTCAGATAATATATCCTACTTTACACCATAAATTGCATCAAGAAATTAAATAAAATTGTCAGATGTTACTGACTGCTGGAAGTATACAGACAAATGGTAGATTTTTATATCTAAACATCTGTTTATTTGATGGATTTCGTTATTTAGATTAAATTTACAGTCTCAACAAGCGAATTTTTTTTAGAGAAATAAACGTGATGGACACAACATTTAGGTGAATGGTCTCCCTGATTGAACAACGAGAATGTGTGTGTGTGGCAGCTGAACTAACAATCATACGTCATTGTTTGTTTTCGTAACATAAAATACAGTCCATTATTTGCAATTGTGACAAGAAAGTTTCTTAGAGTTCATCAAGTACGAACCCACTGAAAGTGGTTGAACTATAATTTGTTTTCAATACCCAGCTTTCAACTATTCTCCCAGATAAAGATATTTTAAGTCATATTATGGATATGAAAAGCAACGTTCTACTAGTTTATAAAAAAAGACTGAAATTAGCTAAAAGGCTTCTGAAATAATCACAATCACATGCTCACATGCAATATAAGGTTTAATGTTGGGCTAATTATAATTATATTTTAATAGTTGACACACAATAATGCTTTCTTATTTTGCTCAAAATATTACCAGAAAGAAACTTCCCATTGTGTGTAAACTGCCGAAATATAGTTATGATTGATTTAATCTATTCCACAATGCACAGACTTACTGACATTAGTGTTGAGCTGTTCTTCGCACAATATAGAGCAATATCATACCATACTTTTACTTTATGTAAGTTATACAAAATAGCATAACAGTGTATTATTACTGAAATTCAATCTAGTACTTATACTACGATGTCTTTTCCATAATGACTCAGTGATTCTTGGATTTCAACAAGGCGATACCAACACATGCTTTAGAATAAAATAGATCCATTTTATTCCCTCAGTTTTTTCTCAAGTGTATGCAATCTGAAGAATGGAAATTAACTGTTATTACAGCTTCAACACATTTTAGTTCATTGGGGATAAAATGTAGAACAATAATAAAGAATGACCATGTTTCGTAGATGAATCGAAATGTCAAGTTAGTAAAATATAGAACTACTCCTGTACTTGCATACGTAATATGAGTGAATTTCCTCGAATAAAACAAAGTGGGAGACAGGGTTATCAAATTGAGGTATGTAATTTATAAGACGAAGTCATCATAAAATTGCTAATAAACAGATGAGATATGAATGTATTTTGAGTTAAGCTCATTTGGGTAGATATTGTACATCTCAAGCATGGCGTTTAATAAGTGTTGGTGTAACTAAGCAAGAGTAAAAAGAACTTAGTATTTACATTTAAGAAAAGAGAACATAATCAGTTAAGGTTGTAAGGCGAGTTATCACAATAGAGAAAGATTAACTACGTCTTCCTTTTGAATATATGTCACATTTTAACCATTCGATAGCACTGTCCTCTGAGAACTTCAAAAGGCCTGGACTTTCTTGCCAAATATTTTGAAGGAATCCAAGATGTACCTACCTGATGTCCAGTGTCAATCAGATGTCTTATGGCTGCTCCGCTCAAAGCTTTACTTCATTTTGACCTCAGAATTTTTGGTGTGTGTTCAAAATACCTAAGATAGGCCCTTCCTTCTGATCTTCTGACTTATCTACAGGGAAATTTATATACTAGTTGAAGCTAACAAACGAAGGGAATCTGTCGACTTGAATGAACTAACGAACATGCTGTTTGCCACACAGGAGTCAGGCTAGCTGCAGGAACCTAGCCAGTCATTTCTTAAGTCATCTGTTGATTACCTCCGCATTATCGTCACCCTTAAATCTTAGATGGATGAATACAAACTTTTATTCACTGAGGTATTTTTTTTCAATATTCTGAAATATGTCGGTAAATCTCTGCGGATATTTATGTCGTAGATATTCTTCTATGAAACGCAGCCCTTTTTCATTTTGTCACTGGACCGTATCATTGTCCCCTTGTAAAATAAGGCCTTGACTGTCACAAAATTATAATATTCGTTATTCAGGTTGTATGCAGTTGCCAAAAAATGGATCCGTTTCATCCTACCCCATGTGTTATTATCGTTTTGTTCAAATTCAAGAAGGGGAATTCATGTATGAAAGATCCTTGATTTCCAGTGTTTTAGCACCAAAGAATCCATCGAGTTTTTAATTAGTTCTCAGTTCTGTGTTTATAATAGGTCTCTAAATGAATTTGTATAAGTTGAATTCATGATGTATGGCGTAAATTTATGATAAGTATTAAACAATGAAATTAATTTACACCCATTATGAGTTCTAGTAATGATCGTGAGACTAAGAGTCTTGAGTTGTCAGACTGCTACTGGTGTAGTGGTGACGATTGAAAGCAAAATGAAACTACGAACCGAGAAACGATTTGGACGGGCAACCGCAGAAGAACTAGTCCGGTGTTGTCCTAGTTCAGCTGCTAGAACCAACTGCTAACCAGGTTATCGTTTCACTGCAATCACCAGAGTAAAGCTCGGTTGCTGTGTGTTACTGTTTTCCCCACACTGTCATCTAATAATGTACTCTAAAGCTGGTTTATCCATTCTATTCATTTACAAATATAGCCTATTCGATTGACTATTAATAATCAGTCTTCAGAGTCAACATATGAAACATTATCTGCTGATCAGTCAAAACAGACTTTTATAAAATCAAAAGTTGAAGAAAAGGATAGTAATAAAGAGAGCTGTATTCCACCAGTAGTACATTCTGAAAATCTATTATCGTCTACATTCAGTGAACGTCTGTGGGATGCTACAAAATGCAATCGAATAAATCAAGATAACCAACGTCAAGAGGGTTAGTTTTGTTGTTTAATTAAATAATAATACGTTTTTTGTACAACATAAACGTTGTGGGTCTAAATTTGATACCAACTGGTCGCTACCTGTGTTGAGCACTGAGGTCTGAAACCATTTCCTCGAAGTAAGTAATATAGTTATGACTGATAAAATTCCACAAATGAAGTTTATATTTAAAAGAATTAATTTTGACTTTCTGGACAAAAAGTCATTATTTCCAGATTGAAAGTTTTAAAGAATATGAAACGCCCATATTGCATTTATAGATACTTAATGCAAAAAGAAGTATATCATTATTGATATGATCGGTAACACGTCGCCAAAATTTGGTTTATCTGTGAATTATACTGGTACTTAGTTCAGGTACTGAAATGCATCAGACAACTCTACTGAATACTACTGTTTTTCTCCGGATATTTTCTGCTTCCCTGAGCCAACGGAAAAATCAGAAAACATGAGTGGACAGTGAAAACAATGAAATTTATGCGACAAAAGTGCATCGTATATACAATACCAATGTAACTAATTTGATTGGATGTATACATGTGGCTCTCCAGTCACATTTAGCAGAATCTTTTGCCTCAACACCTAAATGTTTCCGTTGGTTGTATTCTGCATTAGGTAAAATTAGAGGTATATAACCCTTATTAGTATCTTTCCCACTTAGACTGGCTCGAGGTAACAGTGTTGACGATAAAGCACAAGAGACTTGGTAAAGGAGTGTTTACTTGGAATTCGGTATCTCTATGTAGCGAAATTATGTACACACCTTATTTGAAAATCGTCATTAACACAGATCTTCCGTTTTGTGCTACTTTTGCCCTTCGTATTATGTTTCTTTGTCTTCTTTTCGTGTCTCCCATATTTTGACTCAACGCTGGTTCATTTCCTCTCTTTGACGTCAAATCTATCTCTCCGCTATTTGATATTTTTATGCCAAATGCGTTGTACTCAATCTCATCACAATTAAAACTGACCTTGCCATTAAAAATAGCCGCTCGTTATGCTAATAATATCCTAAGATTCTGACATTAATTTAATTGCACTGAACATTTTACAGGTCATTAAAAATGAGAATCCTTTACAGATTTCGTTTTGTAGACTGAAAAACAGTAAGCTCTTAACAACAATTTCATCCTGTTTGAGATTCATCAGGAGTCAGACTCAGGACTATTAAGTCACCATTCATCCGTTCAAATGGTATCAAATAACTTAAGAATCTTTACTTATGTCAGTTCGCTGTACAGTCCCATTGCCATCTGGTATCATTGATGAGTTGTTGGCATCACATTGTATATGATGGAGTTAACGACCGGCATCATTTAGGGATTAAAACCCACATTGCGATCAAGGAAATCCTTTATACATATAGCAATATATTCCTCATTGATGAACAGTCTCAAGGCAAGCTTATTGAAAGTTTCTTAAGAATTATTAAAACATCAAGTCCGACAAGTTTCCCAGGGGAACGAATATTGACTGACAATATTCGATGCTGTTGGCACGTTATCACGAGTTGTTAGGAATTTTACCACTGAATGGGTGGGTGGTAACGCCCTCACCTTTGAAGTACAACTGCCCATAGATAAATCTATAGTAGGATTGTGCATGTTTGACACTGAATAATTTGAAAGTAGTATCCGGTACTGTCTAGTTTTCAGTGGATCTGTTACTGTTTTCTATTCAAGACGAAATCTACCTGAAAATAAATGATTTCTGTAATTAATAGTGTTCTCTGAGCTGGTTGGTTTAGTTGCGGAGCTTTCGTCGTCCTTCTGGACAACATCTTCAATGCAATATTTAGCATAAAGTGAAATAATTTAAATTTCTTCATGAGTGATATATCTCATTGAAGGAGGAAAAGGATTTTCTGCACTGTATTTATCATTCATTTCGTGATATATGTACTCGCTGTGTATTATAGTTGACATATTCTGTTTTTGTGTTACTAAATATGTGTATGACAAATAAGTGAATTTCCACTTTTCAAAAGAGCAACTTTCGTTGCATTGTCCGAAGTTCATTTTTCTTTCTTCGTTAATTTTACTAATATCGGTAGTTTGACAGCTTGTTGTAAGTTCTTTTAAAATGATTCCTCAAAAATAGTTCGGTATTTGTTAAACTTTTGTGCATTGGGATCACAGATACACGTTTTCATTTTTTTGGTCGTAAACCATTTTTATGTATGTTTAAATTAATTCGGAATAAAGGTAAATAGGTTATGATATTTGAAAGAAGAAATAATTAGTTGAAACGAATCACTAAGCTGCGAAAACTTTTAATTTTCTCACTTGGGTTTAAAGAACATCAATAACAACCAGAAATCAGATTGTGGGGTGTGAAATCTTGGAAAAAGATTCTAACAGTTTTTACTACACTTTGAAAGGAATAAAATAAAATTCTGCTTTTAAAAGGAAACAAGATATCTAAAATGATTTAAAAAAAACTTGTCATTTTCATTCTTATAAACAACCTGGATTAGCCTTTATTTAATTGTTTTCTTATCTTGTCATACACCGTTAACGTTTTTTTGATATAAATGTCATATTTTATTTGTTCACTCTCCATTTTATGTGCCTTTTTAATGTTTGGCGAATGAAATTCATGCACCACCTTTTAAGTGGCTTCTCTGTAAATGTCAAAAGAGAGTTTCTTTCTCAAAAACTTGGACAAAAAACAATTCAAACTATTTACTTGGTGCAATATGTGAGTAATACGCTGCTGCGCTTGTCTCAGTGAATCTAGCTAATAAATATTGGATTGGCATCCATACATTTTAGCCACATCTCCCCAAGGTAGATAGTTTAGCAGGAAAATCGATAGAGAATCTTGCACATGCCGTGGGTAGGTAATTAATGAACAGCTAAAGCGAGTCATTTCCCTGAATGTTATGCCTCTTGATCTTACCATTTTCGTTATAAATGTGTTGCTGACATATTTTTGTGGACTATCATTTCAAATGATTTTTCGATAGCGTTCCATTTATTAAATTTGAATATACATCTACTATTACACATTGATGTCGTTTTCTATTTCAACTAGATCTACGTCGAATGCAAAGAATAAATGAATTTGTATGCGCACAACGTCAAATAACTTCCACAAGTTCAGATAGTACAGTTTCAAGAGAAGTAGGCTTTTCTTATTGCGTTTTATATTTCAGTAATCTATTTCTATGAATTGCATAATACTTCAAAAATAAAATGTTTCCAAACAAGTGTAAACTACTACATAGAAACTACTTCATAAAAGGAAATGACAAGCTTCCAGAGAATATCAAACATTGTTTCACAGCTTCTATCAAATACCCGTTATGCAAAAATAATTCTTGAAACTACATTAAAAAAATACAGAAATCAAAACATTATACTTTCAGGCTATTGTGGTTATAAATTATCTCAAAAGTCAAAAGCCAGTTGTTTTAGCCTGCATGTAGGCTGCTTTTTTCCGGAGACTTCTCACTTGGGTTTACCTTTGTTAATTCAAGACACATTTTACGTTAAATATCAGTAACCCGTGAAGGAAAGGAGATTATATTACGTGTATTGAAAACCTTTATAGTCTTCTCTCTCATTTACAAAATAATTCAACATATATTATAGATTTCGGCTGTTGCTACATCTCATTACGGTTACAGCTTCACTTTAGATTGCCCGCGGAAATCAGATCAGAATAAAAGGTTCGCAATGATACAGTTAGCAAGACTTTTTACTTTCTAGTGATGAACTACATCCAAATTTAATAATAAATTATATCTATTGTATTGCTATGATTCAACTCTGAATAGAATAATCCAGCATTTGAATAATTCCATAGCTTGAAGTGACTAATAGTCTTAAAATTCTGAAACAAAAGACGTACAAGTGATAATACTAAAACAACAATGTATAATTGATATAAGTATAACAATAACAATGTAATGTAACGTAATAACAATGTATAAAGAAAGTAGGGAAAGAATGAATGAAGGACTTTATCCAAAAAGAAAGCGACTATATTTACCAAGATCAAACAACATTCGCCAAATTACTGTCAGAAAGGTAAGAACGAAGGGAATTGCAGCAAATCCGCCAATAATTACGATTCTTGACGTCTCGAGCCAAGGATCCGAATTATCTCTCGGAACCCAACCGGGAGTCGTGATCTATCAACCGGTGCTAACCTAACACAAATATCTCACGATACCACGTCCAGTGTTAGGTGTAGCAAACATAGATTCGTACAGAGGTCTCTTAGATATTATTCGCAGTACATGTCCAAGTCATCGAATCTGGTGTTTTCAGGAGACGACACTCAGTGAATAATGATCTCCACTGTATCTAAACACACTGCCGGAACTCAGAATTACTCACTTGGTGATGCCATTGAAAGCAAAAAATTCTACGGAGACAGTGATGATCAAAAATCCGCAGAGCCGCGACGCATTCTCAGCTCAGAATGGACAGCTTTCACAGGCGTAGAGCTGGTTGATTTCGTGCGGGCACCGGTTGTGACTCTAATTGCCGTATGCTACTCTGGCTTTCATTATGCGGTTAAAGATCTGGCCTCACCAGCACCGACACAACTACCCAGATACACGAACTTATCAACAACTTCAAGGGATTCACCTGCGACAATGAGTACAGGTACAGCCTTCTGCAAGTCTTGTAACAGTACTTTGTAATTAGCTGGCAAAAGGCGCATACCATACTTACAGATACTGACTGCCAATTGATTAAGTGCAATTCGGCAGCCTGCATACTGTCACACAGCAAGGTGGCATCGTCTCGATACTCGGAGTCAAAAAGTCTTTCTCTAGGAAGCACATCTACGCTACTATGCATGTACTTCAGAGATAACTCCATAATGTCATCGATGGCAAAGTTAAGGAGAAACAGAGAGATTGAACAACTCTGACTAACCCCATTGTTGGTTGGGAACGGTGATGATTATAATAATAGCTGGTTGTATGTCCTCATTCTACTTGTGGTTATTGTCTGAAGGGCTTTCAGGAAGTTGATGGTGAAATTAAATATCCTTCTCAGATTGACACAATTTCCCTACTTGAGCGTTAAAGTCACCAGCTAGAACGACTATGTCTGAGCGTTTAGCCTTTCGCACCAAACTACATAGCTTTTGGTAGAACTCATCCTTCGTTCCATCTGAGCTCCAGTCAGTGGGGACGTAGGCGGAGATTACGAAAAGGCATCGGCAAGTAGTGCAGTCCTTTCTCCTTTTTACTGACCCGTTCAGACGGACAGCACACATTCGGCTATCTACCGGGATCCAGTCAAGCAATGTCTTTTCTGCCCTAGTACTCAAAGCTATCCCTACGCCAGCTAATCCTCGTGAACTAGCTGTGGCATCTCCTGACACCCTCAAGGTGAATTTTGCAGATTCAACCTGTTGGCCAGGTGGGGTTAGGTGAATAACCACACTTGGGTCTTGTATGCGTGTTTCTGAAACACAGCATACATCAATGGCTCGTGATGCCAGGGTCTTGGCTAGTGATGCTTGTTGTCCTATTTGGCAAAGTGTCCTAACATTAAGAGCTCCTATATGAAATTGGTGGCGCGGCTTTAAGAGGCTGTCGGTGGTGGTTTTTTGGCTTCCATCGTTTTTAGTGGACGCAGAGTGGAGAGGAAGTGGAGAGCTATCAAGTCGAGGAGTTGCATCAGTGGAAGGAAGGCAAGATGATAGAGATGAAGATGAAGACAAAGATGAGTGAGTAATAGAGAGGCTTCGTGTGCATTTCGGATTGTGAGGGCGATTGTTACTTCCCGGCTGCCCACACTGTGGAAGTTGGTTGCGTGACCGCAGAGCCCAGGGGACAACTGCTTGAGGCCGGTCACACGCGGCCTGTTTCTGTTCGTTCTTTTTTGTTTGGTGTGTCTCAGTAGCAGATTTATCACACTTGTCCTGTGACACGGCAGCAGGAAGCGCGGTCGTTGTTAGTCCGGGCCACGGCCGATCCGGTATGAAATTTTGTATTTATCATGATGTTGGATTGGGTAGCTGCTTTTTGTTTAACCGCTAGGACCTCAAGAGACATAAGTCTCAGCCAGTATAGCTTGATTAGGTCATTGCGGTGTTCAAGCCCGACCACCACGTCAAGGTAGCAGCTTTCTGTCGGGGCGAGTGAAGGGGAATGGTGCTCAGGAAGGCTTCGTGTGCTTTTGGAAGTGTGTGGGCGGTTTTTACTTCCCGGCTGCCCACACCGTGGAAGTTGGTTGCGTGACCGCAGAGCCCAGGTGACAACTACTTGAGGCCGGTCACACACGGCCTTTGTGAACTGGTTTCCGGGATTGGTTCCGTATTAGTAAATTTACTTCCGATTACGGACTACCGTAGGGTAAGTTGAGATGTACAATATTTGCGGCCGAGGTTTTGTAGCCACTTCTGCCTAGAGGGACAACGTGCCTGGTCATGTGAAGGAAATGGCTTACTCTGGTCACATTCTTGCCCCTAGGAGTGCGACTTTACTTACAGACTCTTAGCATCGGTAACTGATTTCAGTCTAGTAGCGTTTTCCACAATATTCCTGGCTATCTGATGTCGAAAGTTAATGAAATTCTAGAAAAACTTAATGTGGTGAAATGGAATATTACGACTGAGATGAAGATATGGTATGATACAATGCCCAGCGTTATCGATGAGTCATGTTACCTAAGGTTCCTAGTATACGAATTTTTTTAAATCCCCAACGCAAAATCTCTCCAAGTTAGGAAATATATATAGTCGAATTATAAAATAATTCATCGCTTCAACTATCAGATATCCCACATTTTTGTCTCTCTCGAACGACGTAACCTGACAACTGAAATAAGAGTCAACTTTTTAAAACAATCGCTGACTCTCCTCAGTATGGAAATTCACAATTTGGCATATCAAAATGTCTATTTTAAAAGTGATACTTCAACTATACTATACTAATCAATAAGACTTATGAAAGTCTGAGTCATATTGACAAATTTTTATTTTCAGCTTCCCGGCGGGATATATTTGCGTTTAGAAAAACAATGGCGTTCACAGACCGGTTTAGCGCAAACAAAGCCTCCAACATATTCTACACGGTAAGAGTAATTTTTCTCAAATTCTCCCTTTACATGTTAACTAAACTTTCCAGAAATCTTTATTTAATTCAGTCTGTTGCATACTCAACAATAAGTACTGACTTTTTTCCGTTTGTAATTTATAACCTAATTCAAACTATGTGCAGCACAAGTTTTTTCGGTAAAAGAGAACTTTAAACAACTTAAAAGCGACTATCTAATTTATTGAAATGTATTTCTAACCAGTGATTAATACAGTAAATTCAAAGTAAGGCTGAAAACTCAAAAATACTGTTTCCTTCTAAAAATATACTTAGAAACATCTATCGTGAGCAACAGAAATTAGTGAAAGTCAGTGGTGCTTTAGGATTCTTAATCTCCAATGTCCCATAGTAGTAGAAGCAGGATTAGGTCGGAAGGGAAATATGAGTGGCCATACTACAAAATATCATCAATCCATGAAGTCATTGACTTTGGGTCAGAGAGATGTAGACCTCTCTGTGACCACAGAATTGCTAATTACCCATTAAAACCTTAAGCGTGTCTCAAAACCACTAAAATTGCCACGCATGCATTGACCCCTTAACATCTTTGAATATTTCGACTGATGTTCACTTGGTTACTCTACCCCACAAACTTGTTTTTTTATTGAAGTATCGTTATTTTGTTATTCAATGTGCTTTTTTACTATGGTAACCTAAGCTGTTGCACTTATGTGAAGAATTCTACTTTGATTTGTTAGTCTTTTCTGTTATGTAAAAATAATGTGTTGAAATGGAATCGCCGATATACTGAAGCATTTACGTTTTTTCTGTGTTTTAGAAAGATGAAACTACAAAGCACTGCACTTCCTTTTAGATAATTGGTAATTATCCAGATGTTGAATGGACCGAATAAATGGGTCATGTTACCAGGATGTAACTGTTTCCTGTTTTATGTCATGTGTTCCTTAAATGATTTCTGTAATAAAAAACAGCCTTTTAATTAGGTTATGAAGAGATACAAAAGTGAATTAATGTAAAATCATTATATTGACTTGTTTTTGCTCCCTTGGGTTTCTAGTGGAACATAGGGCTTCAACTGCACGTCTCCATTTGCTTGTCTTCTGCTGTACTTTTCACCTGCAACCATGTTAGTCCATACTCTTTCAACTCCTCTGCACACAATTTCCTCCATGTCACCCGCTTCCCTTTCGGGTTCCACTCGAGCAATGGCCTGACGCGCGCGCGATGTCACCCAGCGGTCTCCTCAGCGAGTGTCCGATCCATCTCCACTTTATCCTGCATATTTGCTAGGTGATTGGTTCTTGCTTTGTTTGTTCCCATAGTTCCTTGTTGGTGATTCTTCTCGGCCTGGCTATCTGATCTTCAGTATAGATTCAGAGAAGACAGTTGTTGATGAAGGTCTGCAACAGGCTGTTGGAAATATTCTTTGTGACCCTCCAAGTTTGTGATCCGTATATAAGAACTGACTTGACGTTTGTATTGAAAAGCCAACCGAATTTTGTTGTTGATGCTGAGTGACGAAGATTTCCAGATTGGTTTCATGTGGATGAATGTGTTTCTCGCCTTCCCGATTCTCGCTCGATTTGACATCCTCGTCCGTTCCGCTGTCTGTGGTTGAAACAATGCTCCCTAGATAAGTGAGTGAATGAAGTAACCTCTTTCAAATCCCTCCCGTTGATGGTGATTGGCGCTGGATGTTGCTGTTGTTGGTTATTTTCATAACCTCCGTCTTGTCCATGTTCACTTGGAGTCCTGTCTTTGTTGCTTTTTCGACCAGTTTTTCGGTTTTCGCTTATAAGTCGTCGATTTTGTGACAGTGACATCAAACATAAATCATGCACGCGCGAAATTCAGGTCTTCTAGGTTCTTCACGTCGGTCGGTCCAGGATATCCCTGTCTTCTCGTTTCCCACTATCTGACGCATAATCCAGTCCACCACAATTAAGAATATCATTGGTGATAATAAGCACCCTTGTCTCACTCCTGTGTTTACTCCAAACGCCTTGCTGAGTTTTCCGTTATGGATCACTTGACATCCGTTGTCGTACAGCTGTTGAATAAGGTTGATGAATATTTGGGGTACGCCGTAGTACTCGCAGAGTTTCCAAATTACGCTGTCGAAGGCCTTCTCAAAGTGTATAAAGTTGAGGTAGAGGCTTGATTGCCATTCCATGCTTTGTTCTGTGATGATGATGCGTAGAGTTGCAATTTGGTCAGAACATGATTTGCCTTTCCTGAATCTAGCTTGTTCTGGCCGGAATTCAGTATCCAGTGCGTCCTTAATTCTCTCCAGGATGATGCGAGTCAGGATTTTACTTGGCGTCGACAGTAGCATGACTCCTCGACAGTTCTTAAAGAGTGGGGCCCAAGTCGCCCTTCTTTGGTAGTTTCACGAGGTAACCTTTCCTCCAGTCAGTAGGCACCTTTTCCTCCTTCCAGACCTTTTTGCAATAATGGAGTCAGCATGTCTGCTGTAGTCTCTGGGTCCGCTTTTAGTGCTTCAAGGGGTATTCCATCTGGTCCAGCTGCTTTCGGAAGCTTCATCGCATTCAAGACTTCACCTCTCGTTGGAGGATTGGTGTCAACTTGCAGTTGTGTGCGCGCTGTTGTTGGCTGTCTTTTATAGGTCTCTTCCCGGATAGAGATTTGGTTATCTGATATAATGTCCTCAGGTCCCTTTTGCCTGCTGCCTTCTCAGCTTCAGTGGCCAGGTTGTCGTAGAACGAACTTTTGTCCTTCCTAGCACTCTTCTTCACTTCTTTGTCCAGTGCTGTGTAAGTTAAGCTCAGCGTCTCCTCCTGTCTCTCCTTGCATTGAATCATTTTCCCTTTCACCATTCCCCTCTCTTCTATTAGTTTTCAAGTTTCCGTTGAGAGCTATTCCTTGTCTTGTCTCTTCTTTCTTCCTAGAACACGTTTCGTTGAGAATCGCCTTCAGAGACTTTCAATGTTCTTCCACGCATGGTTCTTCAGTGATGTCGCGTAGTGTTTCCTGCTTTGCTCTGACAGTTGCAGTGAACGTGTCTTTTGTGGTTGTGTCCTTCAGTAATTGACTGTTGAACTTGCATTGTGGCCTATCCCCAGCTATCCTCGAAGCTTTTGGTGTCACCTTGAAAGTCCCTTGTACTAGATAGAACAAAAACTAGAGAGAGAGAACAAAAAGAGGAGGAGAGAGAGTGGTCTGAACCCACATCTGCTCCTCTCCTAGATCTTGTGTCCAGTAGGCTCCATCTCCTCTTTCTTATAATTGAGATGAAGTCTATTTGGTTTTTGGTGTTTCCATCTGGTGAAATCCATGTCGTCTTGTGTATATCCTTGTGTTTGAAAACGCTGCCACCAATCACCAAATCATTGAAGGTGCAGAAGTCTGAGAAGAGTTCACCATTGTCATTCATTTCACCGAGGGCCTCGCGACCCATGGTGGGTTCTCTTCCTGTATTGTCTCCTCCCAGCTTCACATTCATATCACCCATAAGGATTTTGATATCGCCATTTGGGACGTTCCCCATTACTGTTTGTGGTTGTCTGTAGAACGCCTCCTTATTTTCTTGTTCTGAGACATTTGTAGGCGCATAGCATTGGATGATTGTAACCTTCCTTCCTTTTGAGTTGAACCTGGCCGTCATTATCCTGGAGGAGATTGGTTCCCACTGCATGAGAGCTTTGGCTGCTGTTGGTGACATCATGATGGCCACTCCCTCGGTGTGCTCGTGATTGTCCTCTAGGTGGCCGGAATGGATTACTGTCTCCCCAGTTGGTAGTTGGCACCTACCACATCCGTTCTATCTGCTCTCGAAGATTCCCAACACTTCTATTCTATATCTCCTCATTTCTGCGTCTACCTGGGCAGCCTTTCCAGTTTCGTACATTGTACGAACAATCCACGCCCCCATCCTTATTTTTGCTTTCATCGAAAGAAGACAAATCGGCTGACTGGCTTCCCGAAGGCTTTCACCAGCTTGCATCATTTCACTTCCCCGATTCCAGCGAAAAATAAGGTTACTGTTTAATTTTTTAGAATTTTTAATATATCTGTACATTGAAGTTTCTGACGCCGTTTGGTTAAGTTTTGGGGGTGGAGTTGCTAGCACCACGCCCCGACCCTCCCTCTTTATCCTGGCTTGGGACCGGCTAGAAAACTAGCAAGCTAATAATCTGGGGAGGCTATTGACTTAAGTTATTGAAAATTGAGTGTGACTGTGCCAATTTAGGCAGACAGAAACTAGCCCTTTCGAAAAAAAGAATCCACTTTCTGAAAAGGGTGAAATTAATTCATCTTACTATAGGCACATCGATGATTTAGGTTGGTAAGCGAACGTGTTGCAGCATTATTCAAAGCAGTTACCTTCAATGTATTAAACTCGAACGACTTTAGCAAAATGAGAATTCGTTTTATTTTTTCTGCTTCTCATCAGCTTTTTGAAAACCGTAATATTCAAAAGTTAACTATACAAAAAAAATAAATAATAATTGAAATTAATGTGCGTTTCTCACTGACTAATTTATATCGGACCGAAATGCACCGTCACATTTGACATCACGGCTACTAATGCAGACAATTCAGCAATGCCTGATGATTAATGCGGTGTCATTTGCTAGATGATGGCGAGCAGTAAAATCCACGATGCACATTTCCTAAACAAGTCATGACGTAAATTCTATCATATTCACTTTTTTTATTTCTTTACATTCCCAGTGGAACATAAGGCTTCAAGATAGAGGCTTGAAGTTTCGGTAGCAGTGGTGTTTATTTTTACGGGGTGGGGTTGCTAGTCTCATGCCCGTCCTTACCTCTTTACCAGTCTTAGTACTGCATCAGCGATGTAAGGGAGTGTGTCGCCCGGGGATTGAACCCGAAATCACATGGTAGTTGGCGGGCATTCTACCGTTTTGCCACCTACGCACCATCAAATTATTGAATATGTATGTATATATATGGAGATAAATATTTCATTATGGATAATAATTTATTTTGATAAATCACACAGTGTTGTACAGTTATATTGACTGATGACGTTTCAGATCAGATAAATATTCCCGTTAAAAAGTTGGTGAAGAGTGCTGTTAGATATATCACATAAATTTTGTCACATGCACCCAAGTAGTCACGCTACAGGTTACCAAATCGCTCATTAACTCAGAGTAGAGACGCCAGTTTTTAGTTTTAGATTTAGAAATTGAATATGACTTGTTCTACGAACGTGACAACACATGTCATTCTATTTAAATGGAAAATCACATGTAATTACTACTGTGCAGTTGCACAGTATCAGATAAAAAACCTGTCCTAACGATCTCAGTAATTTTGTCAGGTGAAACCGATTCGGAGTTAGAAAGAAACAAGTGAAATTTCGAAGGAAAAGTTATTCCAAATGTTTGCTATACGAAGTCTGTGCCAGCGTCGCTAAGTAACTGGAATGACTTAGCATGTAAGCATCTGTTTCAAAGCTGAAGGACATTCTCTCCCTTATAAGCCTGATAAACAATGTGTGAGCGTGCAGTCAAGGCGATAAGTTTGTGTTATTTGAAACAAGACGCCACAGCTGCTGCAATGTTTATTCTCTTTAGAGGTACAGAAGTGTAGAAGTAAGTGATGTGACTGCACAATTTGATCTACTTGGAAAAACGTCAAGCGTACCTTCGAAACTACACACCTTATAGATTTTTTGCAAGTTTTATTGAGAAAAAGGAAGATTTAGAAATACCGACATATTTAAAGTTAGTTCCGAAGAATAATAATTAACTAATGTTTCAGCGAATAGTTGAAGAATGAAAAATATCTACAGTTGTAGCAGAACACTGTCTGAATTCATAATCATGAACGCCTAATCCACAAAACTTATGCACTGGACGACGAATATAATCTAATCCACGACCGATTTTAACAATCCAACCATTGTCGAATCTGTGAACAAGAATAGAAAAATATAACACATGAAATAAATATGCTTATTCGAAAAATGAAAATAAAGTTCGTGTACAAGTGAGACCACTGCGTATTTCACGTATAGGAAGTGAAATAGGCGTTTACAATTTTTATACTGAATAAACTTAAGTGTTAATAACCATCAACTACACCTCTATTCAAAAATCACAGCATCCTCCACGACTGATCTTTAGTTACAATTTTACAAAATAAGTGGACTAACCGTATTTCTCTATCATGTAGTAAATTTGAAAATGTCCATTCAAAACATACTGAATGATTATTTAAATCAGCTTTCAACAGTTGGAATTTTTTAATTTGTTCATCTGAGTGCTGAAAGATAAATTTTAAACAAAAGTATGCTATGGTTGAATAAGTTATACAAATTTATTCGCTTAACAAAATTGAATACAACCATACGAAACAATCAACTGGACGACGTTTTTAAGTGTCGCTTTTTATCTGTACTACAATGAAGACAACACGGAGGATAAATTCTAAGACATCAGTAAATAATGCTTCTTTAGCAAACTATCATGATTCTTATTATCATATTACTGTTTCCTTTAGTTCCTAGAGTAACATAGGGCTTCAGCCGCACGTCTTCAGTGCGTTCGGTTCTCTGCCAATGTTTTCACCTAGCTCCACGTCTACCCACATGCTTTCATCTCCTCTTCACTTGACTTTCTCCATGTCACCCTTGGATGACCAACTCGCCGCTTCCCGTTCTGGTTCCACTCGAGAACCTGTTGTGTGATGTTACTTGATGGTTTGTTTTCTCAGAGTATGGCTAGTCCACCTCTATTTCTTTTTGCATATTTGTTGCACAATCCGTTCCTGGTTGGTTCGTTCCCAAAGATCCCTGTTACTGGTCTTTCCTAGCCGGCCATCTGATCTTGAGTATTGATCGAAGACAGCTGTTGATGAAGGCCTGTAGTCTGTTCTAAGTGCTCTTTATGACGCGCCAAGTCTTTGATCCGTATGGTAGCACTGACTTCACATTGGAGTTGAAAACCCGGATCTTATTCTTCATGCTGAGTGTTGTTGACCTCCACACAGACTTAAGAGTAATGAAAGCTTGTCTTACTTTCCCGGTCCTCGCCTTGATATCCTCATCAGTCCTGCCTGTAGTTGAAACGATGCTTCCCATGTCTGTAGGTGAAGGAGGTTGCTTCTTTCATATTTCTCCCATTTATGCTGATTGTTGCCTGTTGTTGTTGGCGAGGAATTTTCATCACCTCTGTCTTCCTTATGTTCACCTGAAATCCTATCTTTATTGCTTCTTCTTCCAACCCTTTTGCTTCCCACTTGCATGTCTTCCAGTTTGTGGGGAATCAGACATATATCATCGGCGAAGTCCACGTCCTGCAAGTTTTTTCTTGTGAGTCCACTTTACGCCTGTCTTCTCAGCGTCTGCTGTCTGTGGCATTATCCAGTTTACCGCAATTAGGACAATCATTGAAGATAGTAAGCAGCCTTGTCTTACTCCCGTCCTCACTTCGAAGGATTCCGTAAGTTTCCTGTTTTGGACTGCCTGTTATGCACCATTACCGTACAGCTGTTGGATGAGATGTATAATTGTCGGTGGCACCCCTTAGTAGTTGCCAAATCACCTCTCGATCGACGTTGCCGAAGGTCTTTTTAATGTCGGTGAAGTTGAGGCACAGAGCTGACTGCCATTCCCGACCGAAAGCTGCTACCTTGACGTGGTGGTCGGGCTTGAACACCGCAATGACCTAATCAAGCTATACTGGCTGAGACTTATGTCTCTTGAGGTCCTACCATGCCAGAAAGGTTGTTTGGATAGCAGTTAAAACGAAAAGCAGCTACCCAACCCACCATTATGATACAAACAAAATTTCATATCGGATCGGCCGTGGCCCGGACTAACAACGACCGCGCTTCCTGCTGCCGTGTCACAGGACAAGTGTGATAAATCTGCTACTGAGACACACCAAACAAAAAAGAACGAACAAAAACAGGCCGCGTGTGACCGGCCTCAAGCAGTTGTCCCCTGGGCTCTGCGGTCACGCAACCAACTTCCACGGTGTGGGCAGCCGGGAAGTAACAATCGCCCTCACAATCCGAAACGCACACGAAACCTCTTAATCCGAATGACTGCCATTCCAATCTCCGTTCAATGATGATACGTAGTGTTACGATTTGGTCGATGCCTGACTTGTTTTCCCTCAATACAGCCGGTTCTAGTCGAAGTTTTTCATCCAGGGCTTGTTCGATTCTTTCCGGGATGATGTGGTTTAGTATTTTGCTTAGGATAGACAGGAGGATGGCGCCGCGCCAATTCCTGCACTGACTTATGTCTTCTTTTTTTGGCAGTTTGAACAGGTAGCCTTTCCTCCAACTAGCAGGCACCATGCCCTCCTTCCACATCTCCAGTAGTGGTGTCATCAAGTCCACTGATACTTCTGGGTATAATTTCGATGCTTCTGTGGAGATTCTGTCTGGTTTTGCTGCTTTTCCAGTTGTTAGCATCTTGAATGCCTTCAGGATTTCTGCTTTCGTCGGAGGGTTGGTACCCACTGTTAGTTCTGCTTCCGTTGCTGGTATTATTGAGAATGTTCTAAGTGGCGGTTGATGAGTAAGTCTTTTGAAGTGTTCAACCTAGTGTTTCCTTTGGGCCAACTCTTTGGTGATTGACTTCTCATTGTCATCCTTCACTGAGTCAATATGTGTTGATCTCTCCTTCGATAGGAACCAAGCTGTTTGGTAGGGTGTCGAGAGGTCTCCTTTGCCTGCACTGCAGCTTCTTCTGCTTCACCTGCCATAACTTCATAATGTTATCTTCTGTCTTCCCTGGTACTCTTCTTAACTCTTCTGTTCAGTGCACTGTAGCTTGAATTGAACTCCTGTTTTTGTTACTCGTCGATGCACTGGATAATCCTTTTGTTTCACCATCCTTCTCTTCTATTAGTCCCGATGTGTTTGTATTGAGCCGCCGTTTCTCATGTCTCTTCTTTCTGCCTAGAACTTTCGTGCAGGTTCGACTCTACACCGCTTTCAGTGTATTACAACGCTGGTTTCTTTGCTAGTGTTGATTTGTGTCTCCGCCTTTTTCCGTATGTTTGCAGTGAAGGTGTCCTTTGTATCTTGGTCCTTTAGTTTTTGAGTGTTGAACTTAGCTTGTGGTTTACCTACAGCTCCTATTTCTCTGATTTGGATTGTCCTTTTTACGAGATAGCGGTCTAAGCCTAAGTCTGATCCTCTTCATACTTTTGTGTCCAGTAAGCTGCGTCTCCACTTCCCTGATGTCGAGACGAAGTCAATTTGGTGTTTGGTTCGCCCATCTGGTGACACCCATGTGCTTGTATACGCTTCCAACAATCACTAGGTCATTGAACTGTCAAGATTATGTACAGGTAACACTACCTATCACTTTGCTGGACTACTGAAATATACTACACTTTAAATCAGCCAGAATTCGCACAAAATATATGACATACCTATGAATATTTTGACACAACATATTGGCGTGACACATAAGTTAAGCAACTCGAAAGACACGGTTTTGTCACTCTATTTTATGAACCGAAGCTCAACATACTTTTTATGTTAGATGGTTGGAGGCAATCGAAACCCAGGTCCAAGACTTCCCGCCAAATGCCTCCAACTACCGAATACCAACAATTCACAGTGCACCGTGATGGCAAGCCACTTAGTATGGTGGCCACATTGCAAACTTAAATGATAGAATTCAGTCTGCACCAAAGATAGGACTAGATACATTACACTAGTTGCTGACTAGTGCCCAATCAAAACACTTTTTGTGTATTATGTCGTGTTGAACAAACTAATTCTCGTAAAAGGGTTAATGCAGAAGAGAAATTTACTTGCAACTGTTATGGAGGATATTGATGAGATCTTCTGGGGAAGTTGTGCTGAATTGCATTACCTATTTTACAAAAGCTGTAACGGTCTAATGTGCTCTGATCCAAAATAAACTTCGTCACACGGTGGGATCAGTGAAGAACTTCAAACATGAAACTGTCTGCTTTATTTGAATTCAAGACTTAATAATTTTGACCCTCAGTTCCCTGAAGTTCACATATCTTGGACAGCGGCAGAACCTATTTACATACTGTCACTTCATGAAGAGTGAATGCTAGTTTGAATTTGTCAGTTTTCGCATTATTTGTTTACAAAAGGGTCTAAGCTACGACTCTTTTTATTAAATACTAGGTTATGCACCACTGAATCATAAGACTTTACTCCTACCTTATATCTAAGTATTTCCATTTTACAATTAATGCTCAAGGAATTTATATGCCAGTAAATAAAAACGGTTTACGTCTTGTTTAACAGTTCAATGATTATGAAATGCTGATGTGCACTACAAACGAATGGAGAGCTCAGAAATTAGTAATCTTAACCTAAGCAATAATAACATTTCGTCTGACATTGCAACTGTTAATGAAACAGGTAAGACTGTGGAGATGTTGGACAGAATAACTTAGGCGGCAGTTACTCAGTCTAAACCTGTGGTACAGTAGGCGACCAACCAACCCAAAAATGCGAAGGTAAAAACCAGATGCAAAAGGTGTTATCAATCTAAAACTAAGTTAAGCAGTAGTTGCTGACAGTCCAACGCTATGGACGCCTTACTATGGTTGTGAGAAATCACCAACTAGATTAACTAGCACGCCAGTTGTCGTTGAGGCATCTGAGATACTTTCATCATATAGATGCGCGAAATAGTTAAGACGCTAAGTGACGCAGTACTTCTGTGCACATTTCTCCATAGTCTGGTTTGAAAGTGACCATCAAAAGGCTTTTATTCCAATTTTTTGAGGTGATTAACGCTTGACTTCCATATTTAAACTTCGATTCTATATGTTTACTAGTATAAAAGAAGGCAGAAAAATGTCTCGAGTAGTTACACGATTGGTTTTAACCATTTTAGCCTCAACAAGAAGCATATTTTTAATTGTATACCTATCTTGGTTTTAGAAGTTGAACGTGTTACAACCAACCCTCGTTTATACACAGAACACACACTATTTAGTTGTTTCTGTCGAAGATCCCAACCAAAGATAATCCTCTAAACACCCTGAGAAAAAAGAGAGAATATTTGGCCCGCACTTTATCTGTCAAAAGTAAGAGGATGGTATACAAATCGGCTGTACATATTTCCAGCTGAAGGATACAAAGTGAAATGTGTTGGCCGCTCCACTTATATGAGAACTTCTATCAATCCTAACGGACTGTAGGCTGAAGAAAGCTTAACGCGTATACAAAAGACTTGATTGTCATAAGTCACTCTGACCTATTTTTGGCATATCCGGCTACCTACCCTAGGATGTGTACAGCACAATTGTGGCCGCTTAACGAAAAATGCAAGGAATAATACGGTTTTGATTATGAATATCTTCACTCATTCGGTTTCTATATACCTAATAATTATTTAGTATTGTTATTTCTTTACATTCCCAGTGGAACATAAGGCTTCAAGATAGAGGCTTGAAGTTTCGGTAGCAGTGGTGTTTATTTTTACGGGGTGGGGTTGCTAGTCTCATGCCCGTCCTTACCTCTTTACCAGTCTTAGTACTGCATCAGCGATGTAAAGGAGTGTGTCGCCCGGGGATCGAACCCGAAACCACATGCGTAGTTGGCGAGCATTCTACCGTTGTGCCATTGACGCACAGCGATATGATGAATATAGACGCAGTAAGGTGTTGATTGCAAAATAAATAGCGAAAGTTCATCGATGAGGTTGTGAAGCCTCATCAACTGAGGTAACTAGATCATGTGTTACACAAGCCATGCCATAAACATAATACGAGTAACATATATGATGGATAAATATCATTTGAAAAATGATTTCATATACATACGCAAAAACAGAATAAACATCACAATAACAGATTATTTGTAATATTTGTAAGCCCACGGTGTGGGTACATATATGCCAAAAAAATAAAAGATACTTCAATCATGATTTACATCACTGAATTATTTGTGTCTGTTGTCTTCAGTCATGTAAATCCAAAAGATAACCGAAATCGGTAGTGAGCGTCTATAGGATTCACTGTTCAAATAAATTATTGATTTTTTAGAACCTCAATGTCATATTTTTCATACTTTTTATTTTCATTCTAACGGTTACCACTGATAATCTTATTTACTTTGCTCTTTTCTGGTTAGCTTCTATCTTGATGTGAAAAATGGGATGACAAACCCATAAGAGATTAGGTTACGTCCAGTGCTACTTTCCTTTTAATTTGTTTGATTTTTCCAAAAAACACAAGCGCCAGTTTTATTCATCATTATTTTATTTTGTAGACAATTAAGATTTGCAAACAGACTCTTTCATAAAAAAATAAACAATTCTACCTAAATATGTCAACCTACGTGGACATCTGATCCTGTCGTCAAATAAATATTCTTGACGTTCGACTCTGAACTGACCACAACTTCACAAAAGTGGGAAAAGTTTTCAATCTTGCATGAATTTCATGAAATTAGGAATCATATGTACTTGAAAACTATTTCTGATGTATGGGTCTTCAACCCAAATTTCGCTAACTGAACCATCTTCAAGAAATCTTCCGAAAATCCTTTTGTAGCCATAACCGGTAGCACCTTCTTCTATTGTAATCTGCTCATGATACTTTCCAGCTATTAGGCTTTGAGCAAGATGTTAAATTTAACAAACTTGCCGTCTCGTTTCTAATTTTATCTTTCAGCTTTTCTGCATGTGACATATATTCAGATATTTTCTGTTTAAGTCTTTCCTTGAATTGCAACTCTAAATACCATTAAACACGTATAAAAAGAATTACGCGTGCTTCCGGATAGAGATCGAAGGGCTTTGATAAACAGGCCAATACTTTCTTGGTAGCACACAAAACTTTCTGTTAGCTTTAACTGTTTTTCAAGTTCTACAGCGCGCAACATAACAGTTGAGCCTGCCTCTATGAGTGGGTGTGCAGTCATCTAAAATATTCCAAAAAAGGTTTTGAGAGTATTTACCAGTAATCTCACTGAATAAAGAGAATTCTTCACGTCATGCCCACGCATATTATTAACTGATAGAATCCACTTATATTCTTAAGTCAATGTAAGCTGAATACTCATCGCAAGGATATTAACGTTAGCTTGACTATTTAATTAGGAACCTAAGGGATATCATTATTAACGCACGCAGTCTCTTACACATACTTCTCTAATTCTGAGGTCACGGATATAATCACTGTTTGTCTGCAAGGACAACTGATGTTAAGTGTCACTTCGCATCCTTCAAACTAATCTTTACTTAATGTCACATACACTAGTTGACAAGGTATGCAGTATATGAAGGACAATTATTTTAAGCTAATATTTATCGGTACATTGTGACTCATGAAGTATAAGAAATCATGGAACTTAGGAGCGTGAGATGACAGCAAAAACACAGTTGACGATAAAAAATTGATGACTATCGTGTTTTAATTGATTTTTGCAATTTCCATAAGTCATTTAAAAGTAACATTCGTACTAATGCAACACTTTTGTTTACGTAGCTTAAAAAACTCCATTGAGTTATATGAAAAAAGATGTTCAGAGAAAAGACTCTTCTTGACGAATTCATTCACATAGGTGTACAATCACATTTATACAATTATTTTGTGGGTGTGCGCGTGCGTGTATACGGGAAGACTGCTTCGTATTCTGTAGAGGACTTTGAAGTTTGTTTGGGATGTAGCTTGGTGTCCGGAATCTATCAGATGTTCTAAGATAGAGCTGCGGGGGCATCGTTCTTCTCCTTTGTAAAACCATGCTGGTAATTATTCGGTGATAAGTTTGGAAAGCTAACGCTGGGTACGTCCTGATAAAGGCGGAGGAATTGTAACCATGAATCTCGAGGACCATATCAGTAAACTGCTGACTATACTATCCGATAAATGCAAGTTCACAGAACCGATCAACGAGAAAAATATGACTGAACAGACCGAACAAAGCTAACGGACAACCTCCGTAGACTAAACACTGAATTTTTTATCAGCAACGAAATGTCTGAATCCCTAAAGCCATCTGGCTCAAATATACGACGACTTTACGGACTCCTGAAAGTACACACAAAGGGTACCCCTCCTAGACCGATCCTCAACATGACCAATTCGCAGTATCACCGTACAGCCCAATCGTTAGCACACCTACTAGAACCAATCAGAAGACAAGTTTCCTGCCACAGTTCGTGTTTCATTTGACTTTATCGACTCAGTCAAAAACATCAACGTATCCAGCAAGACCGTGATTTTATTACACGTCACGTCATTGTTCACAAACGTCCCAATGACTGAAATAATATGCTAAATATGCGAACCCGATCGAAAGCTGCTACCTTGACGTGGTGGTCGGGCTTGAACACCGCAATGATCTATTCAAGCTATACTGGCTGAGACTTATGTCTCTTGAGGTACTACCATGCCAGGCAGGTTGTTTGGATAGCGGTTAAACAAAAAGCAGCTACCCAATCCAACATCATGTCCAATACAAAATCACAAATTTCATGCCGGATCGGCCGTGGCCCGGATTAACAACGACCGCGCTTCCTGCTGCCGTGTCACAGGGCAAGAGTGATAAATCTGCTACTGAGACACACCAAACAAAAAAGAACGAACAAAAACAGGCCGCGTGTGACCGGCCTCAAGCAGTTGTCCCCTGGGCTCTGCGGTCACGCAACCAACTTCCACGGTGTGGGCAGCCGGGAAGTAACAATCGCCCTCACAATCCGAAATGCACACGAAACCTCTCTATTACTCACTCATCTTTGTCTTCATCTTCATCTCTATCATCTTGCCTTCCTTCCACTGATGCAACTCCTCGACTTGATAGCTCTCCACTTCCTCTCCACTCTGCGTCCACTAAAAACGATGGAAGCCAAAAAACCACCACCGACAGCCTCTTAAAGCCGCGCCACCAATTTCATATAGGAGCTCTTAATGTTAGGACACTTTGCCAAATAGGACAACAAGCATCACTAGCCAAGACCCTGGCATCACGAGCCATTGATGTATGCTGTGTTTCAGAAACACGCATACAAGACCCAAGTGTGGTTATTCACCTAACCCCACCTGGCCAACAGGTTGAATCTGCAAAATTCACCTTGAGGGTGTCAGGAGATGCCACAGCTAGTTCACGAGGATTAGCTGGCGTAGGGATAGCTTTGAGTACTAGGGCAGAAAAGACATTGCTTGACTGGATCCCGGTAGATAGCCGAATGTGTGCTGTCCGCCTGAACGGATCAGTAAGAAGGAGGAAGGACTGCACTACTCGCCGATGCCTTTTCGTAATCTCCGCCTACGCCCCCACTGACTGCAGTTCAGATGAAACGAAGGATGAGTTCTACCAAAAGCTGTCTAGTTTGGTGCGAAAGGCTAAACGCTCAGACATAGTCGTTCTAGCTGGTGACTTTAACGCTCAAGTAGGGAAATTGTGTCAATCTGAGAAGGATGTCGGTGGCACCTATGGAGCTCCGTGCCAGCGAACCGACAACGGTGACCGTCTCCTACAGTTCTGCTCTGATAATCATTTGTTTCTTGTAAGCACTAACTTTAAACACAAGGAGAGACACTGTTTGACTTGGAGACCCCCTTCATCAAACCAACGCTGGACACAAATAGACCACATAGCAATAAGCTATCGTTGGCGTGGGTCGGTAGGAGATTGTCGCTCCTTCTGGAACACGTGCGTAGATACCGACCATGCACTGGTCCGCGCTCGGGTGTGCTTACGACTGAACGGACGTAGGAAACAGCTGGCGGTAAAACCATCACGTCCCCAGCTCGATCAGGAAACTAAATCCGTATTTGAGGAAGAACTAGCTAAACACATATCTGTGTTCGACAGCTGTGCTCACCCTGAAGAAGCTTGGAAAAATATCCAGGCAGCCATAGATACAGCTGTAAAAGCTGTGAATAAGGTAAACCCAAAGGTGAGTAAAAACCACTGGATCTCCACCGCCTCATCCGAACTGATAGATGCTAGAAGACTTATTCCGGCGAGCTCCGAATTCAATGAGGAGCGAAAGCTGCACAAGAGGAAACTTACGAAAAGTCTCCGCAAGGACCGTGAACAGTGGTGGGCGACAAAAGCCAAAGAGATGGAGAAAGCTTCGAGGATAGGCAACACCAGGCAACTCTTTGGACTCATCAGGGAAACGGGTGGGAGAAGACAAATCATCAGTGAGACAATCTCGGAAAAAAATGGCACTATAATTAGCTCACAGGATAGACGACTGGATCGTTGGAAAGAGCATTATGAGGAGCAGTTTAATTTGCCCACAGCCACGCTCAACCTTCCGAGCATCCAACACCTCCCTGAATGGGATATAAACACAGGTCCTCCGTCACTAACTGAGGTTACTAAAGCTGTCACCAATCTGAAACTAGGCAAAGCAGCGGGACCTGATGGAATGACTCCAGAGGTATTTAAGTACGGTGGAGACAGCTTACTGTCCGGATTAACTGAGGTACTAGGCAGCGTCTGGGAATCAGAAGAAGTCCCATCGGGTTGGTGTAAGTCACTGATTATCCCCATATACAAGAAGGGAGACAAGTCTTCCTGTGATAATCACAGAGGGATTAGCTTGACTAATATAGTATCTAAAGTCTTAGGCTCAATAATCATGCGTAGACTGAGTGGTGCTCGGGAAGCACAAACACGAGAGAGCCAGGCAGGCTTTAGACCAGGAAGAGGGTGTATTGATCATATCTTCACCCTCCGACAGATTCTAGAACATAGGCATTCCTACCGGCGTCCAACAGTCATTATATTTCTTGACCTAAAGGCAGCATTCGACTCTGTCGATCGGGAAGTTCTCTGGAGATGCTTGGCTGTAAAGGGAATTCCAAGAAAATATATTGCACTGATTAAGGCACTCTACTCGTACTCATACAGCCAGGTGAGGGCTTACGGCGAGCTGTCATCTGAACTGATGACGACCAGTGGTGTCCGTCAAGGATGCCCATTATCTCCTTTTCTATTCAACTTCATCATAGATGTGTTAATGGACTTAACCCTAGGTGACTTCAGCGACTCAGGGATTGACTTGCTACCGGGGAATAATCTCGTTGACTTGGAATATGCAGACGATATAGTCCTTCTAGGCGAAGACGCTGACGAAATGCAGAGTCTTCTAAACACCTTGAGCCGCAATCTACGAATGTTTGGCATGCGATTCGCTCCCGCCAAATGCAAGATGATGTTACAGGACTGGACTACATCGACGCCTAGTTTAAAAATAGGAAGTGAAGTGGTAGAGCACGTTGACCGCTTCACTTATTTGGGAAGTACCATCAGCCCCAACGGGCTGATCTCTGACGAAATCTCAGCACGAATACAAGGGGCTCGTTTCGCATTTGTTAGTTTACGCCGACTCTGGCGTAGACGAGATGTTCGACTATCGACCAAAGGGCGGGTGTACTGCTCATCAGTCCGCTCCGTCCTCCTTTATGGTTGTGAGACCTGGCCACTGAGAGTGGAAGACATGAAAAGACTAGCTGTCTTTGATCATAGGTGCCTGCGTTCTATTTCCCGTGTAAAGTGGCATAATAAGGTGAGCAACATGGAGGTTAGGCGTAGAGTTCTAGGTAAACAGGGGAAATCAATCGACGAAGTCGTGAAGCTACAAAGACTGAGATGGTTAGGACATGTGTTACGTATGCCAAGCCATCGCCTCCCTCGACGAGCAATGTTAGCGGATATAGGGTCAGGCTGGAAAAAAGCTAGCGGCGGTCAAACAAAAACTTGGCATCAGTCAATGAAATCCACAACAGTTGGTCTAAGCCACGTAGAAAGGTGTAGACTTCCAGGCTGGGGTCCTCGGGACGGTAAAAATCTATGGTTGGAAACAATTGGTGACATGGCTCAAAATCGTTCTCAGTGGCGCAGATGCATCCACTCCCTGTGACTTATGATCTTCAATGAAACTGTTTTGTATTTCTTTATTACTC